TTGGGTGAACTGTCTCTTCAAATGCAAGACGTGCATTTGTGGTTAAAAAGTATATACATTTTTTTATTTTTTTTAGAAAATGAGCGATCGTTTCACTAGATAAGACCCTTATTCCTCAGCTGGGATCGCGTAGAGCCCTTTGAAGCTGCACTGAAACTGCAGTTTGGACCTCCAACTCATTGGCCACCATTGAAGTCCATTATATCGAGAAAAATCCTGGAATGATTTCCTCAAAAACCTTAATTTCTTGGCGACTGATGACAGAAAAACATGAACACCTTGGATGACATGGGGGTGAGTAAATTATCAGGACATTTTTATTCTGGAAGTGAACTAATCCTTTAACCAAACTTCAAAAGTATGAAATGTAAATTCTAGTAAGTTCTTCGAAAGATATGAACTTTGTTGTTCTCTAATTAGCTGGAACTGCTAAAAGCAATGTAATGTACCACACATTTCTCTAATGTAGTAACCCAAAAATCCCAACATGTCTTCCAATCAAACAGAGAGAATGATAATGAAGGTGATTTCTGGAGCAACAATATTCTCTTGCTCCTATTCAAATCTAAAGCAGACAAACCTCTGCACAAACTGTCTCTACTGTCTTCGTACTGTCCAGGTAACTTCACTCTCACCATTCTTTGACAGTTTGATGACACACACACACACACACACACAGACATGTACAAAGGCACATCGACATGTATGTGCGTACGCATATTATGTATATATAAGTTGATATATACACATCCCGGCATGTAAAAAGTGTGCTTATATCTGCGCTCACACACATATCTGAAGCAGAACACGTACAGACACCACACACACACCCATACATATTCATACACCTTGACCTGCACAGTTTATGGAGTCTGTCAAGTATGAAATGTTCAAAGCAGACCCCTATATGGTTCAAGTTACCAACAAACTTTCTGACCTGGTGACACCAGGTTCTGGCATCTTCACAAGAACATAAACCTAAAATATCCCAGATGATTACAATTTCAGTTCGCAAGACATGGTTATATATATATATAGATAGACAGATAGATAGATAGATAGATAGATAGATAGATAGATAGATAGATAGATAGATAGATATTACTGACAAAGGACATTTTTGTCTTTAACTACCATTAAAATACACTTCGTCATGTGATACTAGATTTCACCACTAGGTGAAGACAGAAGGGTGGGAATTGCGGCCAAGAATTCCATTCTGCTTTGAGTTAAATGGCTTTGACATTTTAAAAATAGGAGAAAATCTGTTCTTTCACACAGCAATGGCTCCTCAAAAGGACATCGCTTAGTTAGATATCCACCAGGAGCGTTTCTAGCCTTTCATCTGTACTGGGGCATAGGCCAACAATCAACAAAGTTTCCCATATTTTGATACTTTTTTTGATAATATTATGGATAAATGGATATAAACTGTCTTCACAAGCTGCACGTACAATAAAGAGCTACTTTATTGTTGACACACGATAGAAGACATTTGCAAGTTTAGCAAAAACAGACACATGACATGATTGCTAAAACATTATCAGTGAAAATGATCAGACAAAGATTTATCAATAATAGTATACTTGGGCACAGTGGTATTACTGTTCCCATGTCCCAGTAAAATGGGTCTAGCGATGGCCCTGGTGTCCATCATGCTTCTGAACTAACTTGCTTTGAGGCCTGTTCTGAGGATATTAAAACTCTCGTGAACAATGTCAGATTCACTATCTGTATTTTTAAAAAGCATCATTGAGCATATACTAAACCATGGAACTCTAGCCTCAAGGATATATCTATTTGTGTCACATTATAAAACAAATGTTTCAAGTTTGGAATTGGCCAAAATAATCAGTGCAATCAGGCAAACACAGAGACATATTGGACTGGGGGGTGGTACGTATAAACTGGCATTTTTTGAGACTTGAGGGGTTAAGAGGTTGTATGAACAATAGGCTGTGGTTAGATTCACTTATTGAATAGATCTGAGGGTTGTGTGGTCTTGCTCTTGGGGGATGGGCGGCACTATATGTCTACATGCCTGTCCTGATGGCTAGCAAACTCCTCCCTCTATGAATGACAGATGCCACCTTTCACCTTGTGAACTGAGAAACAGAAACAGGGCAGTACCTTAGGAGTAAAACGAAAGAGCTCCAGAATGTTTTACTGAGAATCACAAAAATTCAAAAGCCAATCATTTGGAAGAAATGTGCAACCATTTTAACTCCCTGTTGGAACTGGTGCACAATAATGCCCTTTGGGAAATGTAGGAACATGATGTGTTTTGTTGTAAGGTCACCACATGTGCTCTTCTGTCCCTGCTGCATCTGTACCTCTATGACAGGTCCCTCCCTAAACATGTCCTCACCTGTCTGCCTCCTGCTATTGACTACTCTGACAGCTGGACAATGAATTGGTCACATAGTGATGCCATATCTCTGTATTTGCGGCAATGTATCCAATCAGGTCCAAAAATACAGGCATGCAAAGCATGTCAGATTGACCAGGATCACTCTGTGGCATGATGGCTAACTAGACAAAAATTGTGCTCAATGAATGGGTTCATATGGAAATTTTACAGATGAGAATCATTTTTCCTTATCATTTCACATCAAGTTTGTGATGAGTAAATAACTGGCATTTAATCTGTCAATAATGTCACATGTAATGTAATACAGTGTCAGTAATCAGATTGCAACCCATTCACTTATACCAGTAACATTTGTGCAACAAATTATGAGCATGAGAACGACTACATGTGTATTCATGAAATAAAAAATACTGATAATAAATACATAAGTAAAAAAAAAAAGCAGACACAACAACAACAACAACAAAAAATAATAAAATACAATAAAAATAGATAGCCTATTAAGTTAGAAACTTCACAGTTATTACTGAATGATAAATAAAGCGGCTGTTTTATATTCAACATTGATAATACGTTTTAAAAGAACATCCTACATGTTTCTACAAGCAGTTGGGACTATTTAAATGTGATGTGCATATCTCTGCACTTGCACTCAATAGATATAACGGATTGTATCTTAACGATTGTACATGAATATACCATCCCATGGATATCCCAAGTCACAGAAGTTTTGCACTTGTTCTTACCGATCTCAAGGAAACCGATTCTTTCATGTTATAAAGTAACCTGTGTGTATAGGCTAAACTTTAGCTGAAGCGTGTGTGATTGATCTAAAGCAATGGCAACGGTTGTTTCAATTTAAGATACAGGCCTAACTAAAACAAGTAACAAGCAATTTTCACTTACCGCGGACTCCGATTTGCGCACCTCAGTACTTATAGTGAAGAACACCAGTAACACAGCGCCGAGACTCTTTAAGTTCATGCTGATTTTCAAAGAATCTGCCCTCTTAACATTGACAGTTACAACTATGAAGACGTATTGAACCTTTCATATTCCTCCGTTAAGCTAACTGCAAAACCAGCACGTTTCCCCCCCCCCAAAAGTTAGAGAAGGATTCTTGTAAAGTCTCAAGGCTGTCCAGTGCTGGCAGCGCTCGCAGTAATGTACCGTCACTTTACTGAATCCCCTTTACTTGCTCATTGCCCTATCTCATATCCCTCCGCCAAAAATCATTCTAGATCCATACAGACTTTAAGCTGTTATGTTATGGGAGGATGAAAAGTTACATTTAAAAGTCTCTGATGCTTTTTTGTTGGATAACCCATTAATATAAACTATTTTACTCGCTGTTGTTTTCTTTTAATATTATTAGGGGATTTGTTATCGATGTCGTGGCGGAGGACGCATCACAGACAAACATTGAAAAAAAGAGTGTTAAAAATGGAAAAAATAAATGTATATATATATATATATATATAGGCCAGTTCAGGAGTTCAAAAGTTCAGGTGCAAAAGCCTCTAAGTGCCGTTTGAAATTTTCATCTAAAATTAGCATTTTTATCAGGCTCCTATATTTATGCTCAGTTATGGCCAGTTCAGGAGTTCAAGAGTTCAGGTGCAAAAGCCTCTAAGTGCCGTTTGAAATTTTCATCTAAAATTAGCATTTTAATCAGGCTCCTATATTTATGCTCAGTTATTTCACTGTAATGGCACAGAAAATGACCTATACATTGCCATTAAAGTGAAATAACTGAACATAAATATAGGAACCTGATAAAAATGATAAAAAATATTACAATTTCAAACGGCACTTAGAGGCTTTTGCATCTGAACTCTTCATATATATATATATATATATATACACAC